CACCATTTATTTCTTAATTTTATTTGTTTGCATATATTATGTCTAGAACAATGATAAATAGTAATAAGTATGGTCATCTTTATTTATTTTGTTCCTGGCTCTAAATGAAATGCTTCTAGTATTTCACCCTTAAATAAGACATTGGCTTTTCACTTGAGATTTTCATATTTTGTCATGTTAAAATGTTTTTATATTTTGTTATGACAGTATTCATCTCACTCTACTTTAGTAAAAAGTTTTTTTTAAAATTAGAAGTAATCTAATATGGTAAAAAATAATTCATCAGTTGGAATTTACTTATTTATTTAACCAGTCATTTTATTTAAGATTCTCCAATTTGGATCATTTGGGTTTCACGATTTTTAAAAAATTACAAATAACGTCGCATAGTACATCACTATATTTAAGAAAGTACTTTTAACTTCTTCTAAATTCCGATTTCCTCTGAAAAGACATCTACTGTGAGAACTACTAGACAGAGGGTATTTGTGCTTCACTTCGTTGAAGAATATACTTCTCTCTTTACCACTGTAGACTCTGCCAGTTTTTCAGCGTTGGTCCTTAAGCTCAGTCCTGCTGGCTGGCTCATGCTCTCAGGAGCCATGTTCCAGCGTTGTCTAAAAATAGGAGTGGGGAGGGTCTGGCTGTGGACCCTGTAGGCTGGGCCTGCAAGAAAGCCTCTGCCCCAAGGTGCTGGGTCTACAGAACCAAAGCAGCTTGTCATGGAAGCAGCCCCAGAGGGATGTGCCCTGCCTGTAGCCTCTGAAGTCCCAACATTACGTGAAAGTTTCATGGTGAAATTTTATCCTACTCCCTAGTTAAAAATATGCTGTTACTGAGTTAAATAAATTGTTTACAATTCACCCATTTGCCATTTCCCCTCACAGAATTTTCGTTTCTTTGCTGAAATTTCCCCATACTTCCTGAAGACACTCGATTCCTTGATGCATTATCGATCAGCCTATGTGTTTCCTGGTTCAATGTGTACATCTGGTTCAACATGCGCAGAAGCAGCCTGACCAAATTTCTTGAGGAAAACAAATCTGTCACTGCCCCATTAATGAATATAAAATGTAGGAAACTAGCCAGAGAAGTTGGGAAATGGACAAAACTCATACATCATGACCCTCCCTCCCTGCCCAACTCGAGGACCAAGCAAGAGGAAAGCAGGGCTGGTCCAGTCTTGGGCCAGTTGCTCAGAGGCACCAGGTTCTTGGCTTCAGATACATGGGGACAATGGTGGACCACAGGGTGTAAATTGACCCAGAAACTGTATCCCAAAGAATCCAGAAAGCAGAAGACTGGAATGAACAGAGTGATGAACAGGAGGACAGAACCCCTCTTTGGTCACTAACTACGACTGGAGAAATAAACAGAATCTTTAAGAGTCAGGAGGGAAAAGGAATCAGATGGGCAGCGTGGCAGCTCTGGAGAGAGATTCTGGAGACTTCCCCGATAGCCATGGAAGTGCTGACAGTGCTTTCTTTATTTTTTGAGATAAAATTAACATAAAATTGTATCATTTTAAACATTATAAAATGTACAATTCAGTCGTTTCTAGAATATCCACAATGCTGTGCAACAGTCACCACTATCTAATTCCAGGAAATTTCCATCAACCCCAAAAGAAACCCTGTATCTATCAACCCTATTCCCTCTTCCTGCAGCCCCTGGCAACCACTAATCTACTTTCTGTCTCTATAGATTTCTCTATTTTGGACATTTCATTTAAATGGTATCATATAGTATGGGGCCTTTTGTGTCTGACTTTCTTTACTTAGCATATGTTTTTAAGATTCATCCATGCATGAGTACTTCATTCCTTTTGAAGGCCGAATCATATTCTGCTGTGTATTTTTGAATATACAACAGACATGTATTTCTGAATCCCACTGGCACAGCAGAAAGCAGGAGCTCTACTCAGTTCTTGCTGGTGTGGGTGCTCCCTGAGAACCAATGAAATGAAGTGGACAATATCTTCATGAAACACTTCACAATTTTGAATTTTGATGACCCTGGATCAAGTTTTTTGGTTATAAATTCATAGCAAATTCTGTGAATAACTTGGGATCACCACAATCTCACTTTTAAACATCAGGAGCCAACCTAAACAGCATGTTGCACAAAAAGCCTTTATTACCAAAGCCAGGGAAATACTGGCCCAGGCTCAGAAAGGGGACTGGCAGGAAGAGGCAGGAAAAAAAACAAACCATTCTGAAGGAGGCTGTTCTTGCTTTTGAGATCCTGTTAAAATTACTGAGTGACTTTGGAGAGTTACATGAAGCTGAAAAGAAATGCAGCTTATCCCCAGGACTGATTGATTCAGCAATAACTCAAACCCTTACAGGGCAGAGTGGGTTTATCCTGTTCAACAGTTCTCACGGGAAAAGGCCAATCTGCCCAGACCCATGGATCCATTAAGCAAACCAAGGGCGTAGCCTGCATCCGCGAGATAAGTGCAATGTGCTTTCCAAAGGCCAACATCTAGGTGTCTGATTCGCTTTCTTACTAAGTCAACAGGAAGACAGAAAGGCAGCCACGGTCTACGAAGACACATCAGCATCGTGATCAAGTGTGACACCTGGTGGCTGACCCACAGGGGAAATAAACACCTTCACTTTTCAAATAGTCAAGGGGTCCACATCATACAATAAAACACAAGTTAATGAAATATCTTTTCTGACCCTCGAATTAGCAAATGATTTTCAAAAACAATCAGAACACGTGTTTGGGGGAATTCTGGAGAAGTAGAATAAAGATGACAAACTGGTACTACCTTTCTGCAGGGCAATTAGTTAGGCTTTGCTATCAAAAACCTAAAACTTAGAATTTCACACTCCCTTTAAATCAGTAATGCCCCTGCTAAGATGATCTTAATGAGGTTATCACTGATGTATGCGAAGATTTAGCTACCAATACGTCTGTTGTGGAATTGCGTATAATAGCAAGAAATGGTAAACAATATAAACATTCAAAAATAGAGTAATAGTTCATAAATTAGGCTATAGCCACTATTTAAATATCTTTTGTTATGTACTAGCAGGGAAAGAAATATATCATTTATTGATCATAAGAACACACTTTATATAAACATTTTGGTTTACAAAGAAAGAGTCCCCCGCTAAAAATATACTAAGCCATGAGCAAGGCAATCTCTGAGGAAGTACAATTATTATATGTCCAAAATTTCATTTTCTACCTGGTTCCTTTTGTGTTGAAAACAAAACAAACTAACTTAAATTTTAATTTAGGTGGAAAAATTCACAGAACCAGCCAGAAAGCACAGGAATTGACTACAATTATATTCTAGTTACCAAAAAGAAGGCAAGATCCTTCTGTGTCTCACATCCACAGGGCACAGGAGGGCCTGAGCCCTCAAGCCAGTCGCTACCCCCCATTCCTTGGAGTTTCTGGCCAGCTCACTGGCCCATTTCCCACAGAGACTGTTTCAAATCTTCACAGTCTTTTCAAGTTCCCTTCCCAACTCCTGCCCCCTTCACTCTCAGTAAAAGAGTCCACATTCCATGTGTCACAGGAAGATGATGAGAACAGGCAAAACACAGGAACACCATCTCCTTCCGGTGTCTCCTCCTGCTCTCTTTCAACTGGTCAATATTTGCACACACTGATAGTAAAGTCACAGAGAGAAGGTGTTCTCACTCCACTTTTACTACTACATCATACCAACGTCCCAAGGTCCAGGGAAAAAAGGACTGGAAAATCCATTAGTATGCAACTGGGAGCTCAACCCCAGCATTATTTCAAGTAAATCAGAAAAGTGATGAGAAAGAAGCCAGACTGTGGGGAATTGTGGGGAAAAGAGGAAATGCCACCTCAAATTCTTTATGAAAAGATAGGGGAATTACAAATAAATATACACATTTGTTTTAAGTGGGGATAGCAAACATAGTTGACTATTTTTGATTATAGTATAATTAACATACAGTAAACTGTACATATTCAAAATGTAAAAGTTTTAACATGTGACTAAGCCCATGAAATCATCATCACATTCAAGATAATAAATGCATGGATCTCCCCCAAAAGTTTCCTGCTGCCTCTGTATTTCTCCCTCCCACCACTCCTTCCCCAGGGGGGCACTAAAATGAAAGTTTGGGTTTGTCTGATTCCACACAGCTACTGAATTCATCTCCCTTTACCTTCACTGAACTAACGGGTTCAGATTGTTTTCCCTCCTCAGAATGTGGCAATAACCTAGATCTCCAGTTTCATTTATCTTGCTCCACCAACAATCCCTAATCCTGCCTCTAAACACAGTGACCCCTGTTTAGATTAAGGTCAAGTCCAAGATTCTCAACATGACCTACAGGGCCCTTCAGGGTATGAATCCTGCCTACTCCTCAAGGCTTATTTCTTGCTGTGCTCCCACACCACTGAAGTACCTGCCAGGTACCAAATGTGCTCTGCTCCCCAATTTCCTTTCAAGTGGCTTTTCACAAGCTATTTGGTTTGGAACAAATCAACCTAGACCCTCCCCGAGAAACTCCTACTCATCCTTCTATGCTGGGGACCAGGGCCGCTCCACAAGCTGTGAGGGAGAGGTTGGTGCAAGGTCACACTTTCCTACTGGGCTTCAGCAAGGCTGGCTCAGCGCCACAGCAAGCGGAGGTGGTTTCCCGGTACCTGAGATGGTTTCGATACTGGGTACAGAGCATCCTGAGTTCTGATACATTGATTGCTATCATCCTGCAGTTGACGCACAGAACATTCTCTGCCCAAGGCTGCTTTTCCCCTTTCTCCTCCCACCACATAAACAAGGCTATATCAATAAACCACGGCTGCTAGGCTGGATCACTGTCCTAGCCCCTGCTTTCAAGTACTTGTTTGTCTGTCTGTCTTAATCCTCCGTCGTTCCCCCTCTGGCCCGTTCGACTAGCAGTGCTGGACGTGGCACTTCTAGAATCTTAGACCAGTGGTTCTCTTCAAGGGCTGGTACTAGGATATTGCAGTAGGAATCCCAATATGTACTCTTTACTTACTTGAGAACAGCAATTTCTTGAACAGTAATGGCCCTTTTATCTTTGGTTCCCATGTAGGAGAATATGTTTGGCTTGACTCTGGTAAGACAAAACCAAAACCAACTGAAGTCGCATACCACGAGGAAATCACATTTCTCATAATTTGAGATTCAACATAAATATACTTAAAATCATAATAGAATAAGAGGAGAATTGAGAAACTTTCTTTTAAAATGTTAATTAATATACAAGATAAGAAAGTAAATGATGCCTGAACAACTAACTCCCTTCCTAGCAGCACTCAACTTAGAATATTTGTGGCCCAAAGTGACTAACATGCTATTTAGCAGCTAGCCAGTAATGGAAAGGAGATGATATACTTCCCACTGATCTTATGCAATTCATTATATTACATAACTATTAAATTCTAGATTTATAAAGTACCATTTTGGAAAATTTTTACCTTCGATTTAAAAAAAGTTAATGATGTGAACTTCCTATAAACACAAGCTATTTCTTTGTGTAAAAAAGCCAAATGCTAAAACAGGGATCTGAATAATTTGGATATGAAGATTTAGGTAAGCTAGTTTACCAAGAAGTATTTTATAAAAACTGCTCCACACTCATGGGAAAAAACCAGGAAGGATTCCTTGAACTCTAAGCAATCCCCTACCCAGATCTCAGAGGAACTCCCTTCCCAATTGTTCATCTCTTGTCAAGAACTGTCTATTCACCCGGGCTCGGGTACAGATACGGCACCATCAACTCTCCCCCAAAGAGCTAGCAACTAGAGTAAAATACAATGTTACCCAATAGGATACTGTGTCCTATGGGCTGAACTGTGTTCCCTCCAAATTCGCATGTTGAAGGCCTGACCCTCTGTACCTCAGAATGTGACTGTATTTGAAGACAGGGCCTTTAAAGGGGCTATTAAGTTAAAATGAGGCTGTTTGGGGGAGCTCTCCTTCAATCTGACTGGTGTCCTAGTAAGTGGAGAAAATATGGACACACAGAGAGACTCCAGGGGCACATACCACAGAGAAAAGGCCGCGTGAAGATACAGAGAGGTGGCCATCTCCAAGCTGAGGAGAGGCCTCAGAAAAAAAACAAAAAAACAAACAAAAAAACCCCACCAATGCTCTGATCTTGGGACTTCTAGCCTCCAGAACTGTGAGAAAATTAGTTTTTTACGCCACTCAGTCTGTGGTATTTTGTCATGGCAGCCACAGCAAACTAACACACTGTACGCCATGTTTAAACTGAGTTAACTATATATTAGAAAGTAAAGTTCCAGTGCATATAGATTTTCTGTAGTGCCTGTACCTGTTTCTAAAAAAAGAATTCTTTGACACCTGGCCCATCCTCAGGTCTCAGGTTTCAATCTAGTTAATCCCCAAAAAATTGTAGCTTACAATTTAGTAAAGCAAACCTCTGCACCCACATCAAAGTGCAGGCTTTCAGGGAAGAAAGATAGTTTTCATGTTCAGCTGGGTGGACCAGTAACTCTCTACTACATGCGAACTATTTACTTATAGAATTTTCATCTTGAATCATGGGCAATATGCAAGGAGGTTAAAAAAATTAATTCACCTGTTGTCTAAGAAAACTATAATTGGGAGACATAGTTCCATCTGTTTGCCTATTTTCCAGCTCCCTTTTCATTAGCATGGAAAGAGGAAAAGAAATTTCCGAGTTTTATTTTTGTGACACAAACACAAGAACAAGATACTAACCTTAAATATTTAGACAGTACATTAATAGCATCCATGGTGTCTTTGTTTTCTTTGTACAGTACAAAGTGGCAGTAACTTCCCCTAGACTTTGGCCAAGAATGTTTTCTTGGATCTTAAAAACAAAAAAAATTAAACGTTATATACACTGTAATAAAAGTTGTCTGAGCTTTTTCTTATGAAACCCTACAAGCTCATTTCTTGCTGGAGAACCTCTGAGTGAGAAATCGGATCTGGTCTGACAAGAAATACAGGTTAAGTAGTTACAGCTGTGTGCTCTATAGGTGTTAAACTTTGTGACTGGATACTTAACATTATCTCTCCATATTTAAAATCAAAAGCCTAAACGCTGGTGGTGTGACAAATGACTAAGACTAACCAGCAATCCTCAACAGAGAAGAACACAGAGGGGTCCCCCATTCCCTGGCAGAGCTACTTTCCAAGCACGTGTCTGATGGCTGGGCCAGCAGGCTCCCAGAACACATGCAGCTCTCAGAGAGGCAGCAGTCACGCTGGACTTCGCAGTCTTGCCTCACATCCCCAGGTGTTCACACAGACAGAGTGGACGCCTTACTTGGGATGGGGATAAAACCTGTAAGGAGTTGCTTCAGTGACATGGTTAGCTTTTGCAAAGGCCACTTCCATCACGAAAGTTTAGTTAATCCTCGACAGTTTACAAATGTCTATGTGACAGAAAGAGCAGCTGACATTCAAGACCTAATTGTCATTCTTGGGGAAAAGGAAATGTTAAAAATTAAGCCAAGTTAAATGTTAACTTCTGAGCTACTGTTACTTCACTTGTTCGACTTTTTGGAAACTGATCAACATTTCAAGACTTTGGAGAATCTGATTTTTAAAAGTTCTTTTAAACGAACATTTCAATTATCCTATAATCTAGAAACATATTTAAACAATATTAAGATTTAGATTTAAGCTGCCCAAAGGTGTTTTGAAAAAATCCACACTTCGGGAAAAATACGTAAGTCACAAATGCACTTCCCAGACGTTGTACAGTAACATTTGTGAGTCTGTGTGACTCAGCTGCAGCTGTTATGTGAATACATCTCATTCACTTGATTTCTGTAATTCCATGAAGGAAAAACTGTGAAAAAATATTTCACACAATCCGTAGAAAAGAGTCTTCTTTGTGTAAAAATGTTCCTCTCTCTCTGTCCATAACATAATCCATCTTCAGAGACACAGGAAACTTTTAGTGCTGAAGTAGCCCTGGCTTTGTCAAGGCAAAAAGCACTGCTTGGTAGGTTAGTGATTTAAGCTACAACATAAAGAACAGATGAATCAATAAACAACCATCTGGGAAAACTGCCTGAGCAGATGCTTAGCAAATCGCTTTTCCTTTCTGATAAATGTGAACGTGAGTCCTTTCTGTCTTGCACAGAAAAGTATTACAAGTATTTCTTCGGCTCCTGGTGTGAATTCTTCACAACTCATCCTCACAACATTGTGAACAGGAATATCATTTTTGGTTTTCTTTCCAGCCCACTACAGTTAAACAAAGTTGTCTATACTTGGCACTTGTGACAAAAGTCATTGGCATTTCATTTTACCTACATGAAACGCCAACCCCTCTTACCTGCTGCAGTTCTGACCTCTGTCCAAATGCACAGCATAAAGAGCACAAGAGAGCAGTGTTTAATTTATAATAATAGTCAAGTGCTTTAGAGGTGAACATGCAAATGATCGCATGGAAAGTTTCTACCGAGGACTTCTACAGCTCCTGGTAGAGGGTGGTGGGTTAACAGCCATGTAGACATTAACAATGGAATGTCGCAGAGGCAAACAGTGAACAAGAAGAAAACTCACCTACGGGTCCAAGCTGCCCTGGCTCAACCCCCTCACAATGGCGTGTAAGCTCATCCTCAACCTGCACTGTCTGTACCCACTGGACGTAGCCAAAGGTTTAAGGCTGGGTGCAAAATGCTTCCCCATCTAGAGATCTGTTTTCTCAAATATGGGAGGACATGGACCAAAATGCTCTTTGTGGTTAACTTTTGGTGGTGAGACTGCAAGTAATTACTGTTTTGCTTTGTGTTTTATGAGTTTCCTGCACTGACTTATAAAGATTTTTTATTTGAAAAATTATTATGGAAAACAGTTCTTGAACTGATTAAAAGTGATTTAAGAGATGATTTCAGAGACTTATCCATCAGATGCAATGTCCTGACCTTGTTTGTATCATTATTTGAACAAGTCATCTGTATGTAAAAGACATTTTTGAGACAATCAGGGAAAACTGAATATGCACTGGGTACTGAATATTAAGAAATTATTGTTGATTTTGTTGGATGTGATAATGTAGTTTAGGGCTTTAGTCCGTATCTGTTAGATACATATTGAAGTATTTATGAGTGAAATGAAGTGCTATGTAGAATTTTCTTTAAACCACTCCAACAAGAAACAAAAAAGTGGAAGGAATAGATCAAACAAAAACAACACAATATTAATAATCTTGAAAGACAGTTGATGGGTACATAAAAAGTTTTAAAAAATACTAGTGATAAAAGTTGATGAAGTGTAGCTACATTTTTACTTAACTACCCCTTTAGTACATTTACGATGAACTACAATGGCAAGAAATAAATGAAGCCACAAGACTAAAAAAACTAAATGCTATATACCTTAAGAGAAACCATGACAACCGAGTATGAGTTTTGGCTCACAAGCATGCATCTTTTATTAGCAAATCCAAGCACTGTGCATGCATACAATTATCTCCTCTGCAAATAACAGACACAAGGATTCTTTTCCTATTGCACTCAGTGTATACAATACAATAGTAGGCATATGCACTGATTAACTGGGAATATTTTGAATAACAGAAAATCAAGTCTCAACTTCTTTTGGGCAGTCTGTTTAACTTTATAAAACTCGAAATCCTTAGAATGCTAAGTAGAATATATATAGCTTTAAAATTTAAGTGAATCTAAAATAATTTTCAGATACTTTTGAGACATTCTGATTTAAAATGCTGATGCAAAGAAGTCTCAGGCTGAGATAATAGGAAGCCACCTTCTGATGGTCTGGTATTGTAGCCCCTATCTAGTAGAAACAAAACCAAATAAAAAACACCTCATTCTGGAAGATTCATGTCCTACGCTGAGAGACCCTCGTGAATAAGGAAGGAAAAATGTTTGTAGCTCGAGAATGATGACAGGATGAGGTAGCATGCAGCACATTCTTTCCTTCTTATTCAAGGCCATTTCCACCACTGCACCCCTGCACACCAACCTTTCAGCTTCCTCAGGGATCCTGTTCCATCCATTCTCACTCTCCTCCCAGAATTTTCACCCTCCATCTGCAATGGCTTTCCTTTTAAAAGTCGAACCTATGTCTCCCTCTCCTTAACCATGTTCCTTTCCTTTCTCCTCCTCTTTGCATCTTATTTGAAAAAGCAGTCTGTATTTACTGCCTTTCATCTCAACCTACTATGTAAACTCGTTTCCAATCTTATTCCACTGAAACTGCTCTGGCAAAGACACAAATGATTTCTATGTTGCTAAAAACTGATGGACATGTTTCAGAGCTCTCTCTCACTGTCGGTATCTGTAATGTTTTCCACTACTAACCACTCTGATTATTGGAATTCCTTCTTCCTGTGGATTCTAACATACTAGTTTCTCCGTGGAAGTTTCCTTTTTATCTGTCTGGTTCTTCCCTACTGAGTTTCTGTGGATTCTTAGCTCCAGGTATCCTTCCTGGGAACCACTCATTTCAGAAAGTATGAAGAACCTCTGCACATCACATGGCAGAATTTTGTTTTTTTCTACTTGTCTTTAAAAAGTTCTTGGAGGTATTTGTAATATAGATTACCTATCTCAAAACATCAATCAATTTAACTGATTACATATAATAATTATATGACAGTTTCAGAAAAATATCATATGTATGCTTTGGTAGGTAAATCAGTGTGTCCTGTCTATCAGACTGGAGTAACACACAAAATAATGCCTAAGTTAAAATAGTTGGTAATTTGTTTGGCTATATTTGAGAAAAGTTTAGGTTAAGAATATTACAAATCTGCTAGATAATGCATGACCCACCATAACAATTTACATCAGGGTTTGGTAGTAAAGGGACATGAAAAATATTATAAATGTAAATTTGCAATGATGCTTTAAAGCTGATTAATTCAAATGCTAGGCAAAGGGGCCCAGGACGACAAGCTGTCATTGGTACTGGGTCCTATCGGCAGGGGCATGACCAAGAGTCTCTGGATACCAGCTCTCCCTACTTTTCCAGTGATGTTTACTCTAAGCCACTCGCAGCTTGCGGGTGGGGAGCTAGATCGATAAAAAATGAATGCAGACTCTCAAGTGCCTATCAGGGTCTATGAGAAGGTGGCAGAGCAGAGCTCAGATGGCAGACCTGTAGTCCGTCCTTGACTAAATGTTACAACACCTCAAGCGCAAGAGGTTTGATCTCTATGCAAGATCTATGAATATGATCTCAATTCAATGTGACCTGCCTTCGTTCCTCTTTTTAAAGTGAGAAATTCATATTTTACTGAAGATGTGCAAAGGGAAATGGGAGGGGTGCTGCATGTCACACAGAGCTCGGCATCTCATTGGAAATACTTAAGAGAACTGTCTATTTGAAAAAAAGAAAGGTGGGTGTGACATAAGTACAGAAAATGTGGATACAGAACACGAGCGATCTGGCAACACTCACTTAAGGGGAAAGGGTAGGTAAACTGTAACGGCCACCTATAGATGCCCTAACTCCCCTCCCTGCAGATCACAAAACCTGGCATCCTCTAAGAAGAAATAACGATCACTGCCAAGAAGTAACCAGTCAAAAAAAAAAAAGTACAGGTTTTGCTTTTCCCAATCTGCTTCCTCATGACCATACTTAGCAGATCAAGACCCTGCCTTTTCTTCTTGCCTTTGCAAGAGGGTGGCTGGCTAACACGGATCGCCTCTCTAGAAACATCTCCCTAGCAGCCCTTCTCAACCTGGGTTCCTTGAGAGAATTAAGACGGAATGCACCACGGCTTCTTGCCGTAGGTAGCAAGTCACCTTCTCTCCTCTACATCAAAATAGTTATCAGCTACGTGTCGACCTTGGGAGAATGGAAAAAACAGTCCCTCAATCATTTTCCACGGGGCCCAACTCTCTTGAAGAACCCAGCTGAAGAATGGCTGTTAAGGTGATATTTTATACTGTGACTCAGACATCTAAGAAACATACCGTACCCAAGCCATTAATTAGTCTATGGATTGAGAAGTGATTAACAAGTCGTACCCTCAAGTAGTTCTAAAACATATCTCACTTTTCTTTTTGCTTTCCACTGAGAAGTGGCCTCCAATCTCCACCTTCTCCCCAACTACTCAAGTTTCTCATTTCTATGTTACTATCCAGGCTTATTGATTTCTTAGGCACAGCTAAACCTTACTTCTGCTCCCTTTTTTCCTACACCCTCTCAGTTCACTAGAACGGCAGTTATAAACAATTAAGTCTTCATCCATTCACAGCATTAACCTAAGAGAATACTGACAAAGCATTAATGATTTGAAATCTTTTGTTCTACAGTCTTGTTTTGCTCTAACAAATATATCTAGAAATAACTCACTAATGGGGAGAAGGGCGAGGAAATAACTTTTCCCAACTGTAATTTTCATTAAAATTTTATCTGCTGATTTGACAAGTAAAAGAAGAAGATTAATTTTCTTTAAGGTCATATGCAATTAGAAATTTTCATAGCTGTAGAAAACATATTAGAACATAAATATCAAAGAGATTCCCCGACAACATACCCATTTCAAATGAATGATACACAACCAAAGATGGGATTGGACAAAGGGGCATTTTTCTAGCTATTCCATGTTTTTTATGTGGGAGTGAAGATATTCACAGTTGGAAAGCAGCAAGCTCTTTCAATTTAGGGACTTTGCAGAAAATATGCTGCTGGGACAGGTGACGAGCCTTTTCTGTTCACCTGACAGCTTTCTCTCCTCCATTAAGACAAAGACTGAGCAACATTCTAGCATTTTCTTCTTAAATTGCCACGTAGCCCACTCTGCTCTTCAGGGGACATATCAAATTCCTAAGATGCTCTCTCAGGCACCACTATAATTACAGTTAATCTTTACCCACATAAAAGCCCTGATGCCCCCTCTCAGCAAGTCTATAGGATTGCTCTGGCATCTAAAATGGTATTATTCACCTTCTTTGAAGGAGTGACACGTGATCAATATCCTTTTCTGAGCAACAGCAAAGCAGCCTTGAACATGAACAGGCAAGGAGAAGGAGTAGTGGGACTTGTCTCTCATGACCTCCCGACAGAGAAATCAAGTCCAGTTCACTCACACACTTACTTGCCAGAGCCTTCTGTCCAGCAGCATGGTAGGCTACAATATATTTCTTCCCCTCTCTATCCTCTGTTTTTGTCTCTAATCCTGGATACAGAGATTTAATCGCTTGATGGATGACGGTTCTTTTCTCTTTGGTGTCCTCAACAACCTATTAAAAACATAGATAATGATACTACTAATTTAGCAAACATTACATAGGGAAATCATACTAATGAATGAGCAAAAACACTACTCATCTTATTAACTATTGTACATGAAATAACACAAGTACATGGGTATGATTTCAGGAATCTTTCAGAGTTTCACAAGATACAAACCCTAAAGAGCCTGTTTGCTGAGTATGTCTATCTGCCAGGTACTGTACCAGACACTTCACAGATGCTCCCTCTTAGGGACTCTGGGGGACAAAACACTTCAGGACTCACAGATGGAAATGTAGGCAAGCTGAGCCTTTG